TCATAATCGATGCTCAGGATTTAAATCTCCTGGACAGTCTGGTACAGACTCGTTTATTTACTGACCGCCTCCATGTAGCTGAAATATTGTAACGTTAACAAACAAACAAACGTTAAAGAAATTATTTTTAATAATCCAATAATGTTTGAGGAATGAAATATAAGTATATTTGATAAATAAAGGTGCAGTCACTTGCTGGGACATCTGATAGACCGTTATGTCTGTACGAAATCATAATGGTAAATGGTTTAACATCTATTCAACCTGTATGAGAGACCTCGTGTTCGTATATTGTTTTGTATTTTATGTTATTTTTTATTTTATTTTTTATTTATTTATATATATATATATATATATATATCTTCTTCTTTTTGGGGGGCGGGGGGCATGTCAATAGAGATCAGTTACATCATATTTCAGAGTGATGCAATCTCACTAAACAATCGGATCACTAAAGAGGTTGCACCTTTTCATGATGTCAAATGACTTTATATCATGGAGATGGATAACAGTTAGCAAAGGGTAAAACACGAGTAGAATGGTAACTTTGTTATGTACCTCATTACATTGAAAACTGCTGTGGAAAGAGACTAAAATGACGTTGTGAAGTATTGCTGTGGACCGAGGGGTACTGTGTGACATTTAAGTGGGAAGAATATGAGTATATGCAATGAAGGAGGAGGTTGCCAGGTGTACCAACATCCTGACAAAACCATTATATGAAAAAATCGAACATGGGCTTCTTGTGTTGAACGTTTGCTTTACCAACCAACCTGTGTTGGACCGATGTTAAGTCAATGTTTTTTGTCAGGGAGACATCAAGAGTGGAATCATGTTTCAGAGCGATACACTTTCACACAAAATACTGCGGACAACTAAACGCGAAAGAGTTCTTGTCTTTTCAGGAGACAAATATGCTTTTAGAAGGTTTCGAAATGCTACATTGGTTATATTTAAGATTTTGGTACTGAAAATAGGTGATCTAGACTACCAGTTGCGTTGCCTAGGAAACGGTACATATCATACATACAAAGCATGTTACAAATGATAGAAAGGATTGCCTTCTTAAGGAAAAAAGCGAAGTCTAGTGGATTGCTAAGTAAAAAATCTAACAACTGTCGTCACCAAGCAGTAAGTTTTGAAAATGAAATAAAAACAAAGAAGAATTGCTACGTATAAGGTCATTTGTTGGACATTTACTTAGGGTACAGCCAAACCGCAGTGATGGGGGCTAGTTTTATAGGCATCCGGGCCAACTATGGCAAACATAGCAGATAGGCATGCATTACGCTTACCATTACATCACTGCCGATGCAGATATGTGCGTCCAAAGGAATCACGTGATGATGTCAGGTACCCTTAGTTATGAAAAACGACTAGTTCCTGACGACGGAGTTTTGATAGGCTGGTTCTGCTATGAAGGAAAAGCATGTAAGTCAGTGATAATGGTGATACAGAATCCGGCCATTGTGTGTACAACTCACCCCTTCCGCATTGTACAAAGATATCTTTTACTCTACCATGACTACGTAAATTACTCGAATTGCAATGGACAATCAATACATCATTAAATGAATGACCTGTCAATTTGGATTGAGAAATGTGTCTGATTTTATGACCGCATCACACCTCACGTATACAACACTGTCGTACTACTTCAGCTTGGCCACCAACATGGTTGATGTCAACACAACAGACGTGATGGAAATGTTAATAATAAAACGTTTATTAAAACTTGAAAAATACAACTATAAGGAAATTTCCCTTCACACTTATTAGGAACCTCATTATCATATTACCATTTACAACAAACACAAATTAGAATGTATAGGTCCAACCGTTAACAAGAAATATTTAACTTATCAGAAACAAATGCTACATCCTTTCCACAAAAATTTACAGATTAACCTTCCTGATGTGTAAAGGGTATGTTTGCTTCCGTTAAGAGAGTATCAATTCAGTTTTACATTTATTTAATTTTCAAACACATTAAGTTTAACTCCTAAATGATTAGGTAGTCATGGCAATTTGACCATACGGTTTCTAATTCAGTTATTAAATATGGGCTATCAACTCGCTTGCAGTGAAACATATAGGTAACATACATATGGGTAACCATGTGACAAACTACTATTATTTACGTTAAAACCCATATATTAATCATATTAACATCCTTTATGCATGTATAATTAAGGTATAATTTGTAGTATCGTAAAGACTCACAAGTGCTTTGTAAAAATTAATATTTTCATCTCAAACTACAATATGTGATTCCGGATTAAAACAGATGCTGGACGATGCATGCGAATCCCTAAACTAACGCTTAGTCTCAGACTATATATATTGATAGTAAAAAATAAACCCATTTAAACCCAAGTGAGATGGGATATTCAGAACCTGAGGAAATCTAGACTTGCTCCATATAGGGCTTTATTGAGGGCTAGGTAGTAAGAAATAATGTGGTTCAGGGACTGTGAGACTTGCTGATTCCAAGAGGAGACCGAATGGATCTTATGGTCAGGATCGGTGATGTAATTTATCTGACCGCCGTCATCTCACTGGAATATTTTAGTGTGCGGCTGAAACAACGAGTTTTATAACTGGGTTGTTCTCAGTTCTGATGCTATTAGAGTAATAGCGACAAGTGAAAGAGCTAAACTTACCGTCGTCGTATTTCTGTGCTTTGGGTGATTTTACTTTCATTTTCTTTGATGGGGTACAAAAGAATAAAAACATATGAAGACATGTTAATCACCACATGTACCACTGGTAAACAGGACTTTTGTAGAACACTAATAAACAGGACCATGTACCATTGATAGAAACAGGGATTTATATAGAACTGTTTAACAGGACCCGCAAAAATTAATTGATAAACAGGACTATATAGATTCGTTGTGAATTCATGTACCATTGATGCACAAGACTTATATAGAACTGTTAAACAGGACCATGTACCACTGATAAACAGGACTTATATAGAACTGTTAAACAGGACCATGTACCGCTGATATACAGGACTTTATATAGAACTGTTAAACAGGACCATGTACCAATTGATAAACAGGACTATATAGAACTGTTAAACAGGACCATGTACCACTGATGCACAAGACTTATATAGGACTGTTAAACAGGACCATGTACCGCTGATAAACAGGACTTTATATAGAACTGTTAAACAGGACCATGTACCGCTGATGTAAACAGGACACTATGTACTAACTTATATAGAACTGTTAAGATCAGGACCATGTACCCGGCTGATAAACAGGACTCATATTGAACTGTTAAACAGGACTACATGTACCACTGATAAACAGGGACTTTATATAGAACTGTTAAACAGGACCATGTACCGGCTGATAAACAGGACTTATATCACTCGATGCACAGGACCATGTACCATTGATAAACAGGACTCTATGTAACACTAACTTACAAAAACGAGAGTTGTTGAAAAATGATTTTCCACAAAAGAATATTTTTGTGAGTCTTTATATATAAAGTTAGATTTGAAGCATATTTTATACTGCATATGTGAATATGTCTCTATTTGGCATCGATGATGTGGATTTAGTATTCCATTTTCATGTGGAGTACCAAACCAAATCATGTTTTTAGATAATATCAATGGATGATGGATAAACATTGTTGGAGCCAAATTTGTGGTTTATCCAAAAGGTTTGTGCATAACCAAGTTATCAACTTTTTCATTTTGACCAATTCCTCTTTTGTATAAATAATACCTTGTAGAAATCTATGTTGGAAAGTCAATAAGCTTTGTAATCCTTGTAATCCCTTTCTTTATACTGTAAATCCATTTTTCCAATCAAAAATCACTTTCAGGAAATAAAGCTGCCATTTGTTACAAATGTTTGGATGTTTATCAGTGCAAATTAGTGTATCATAAAAATCCGGAACGGAATTCGGAAAAATTACTGGTATAATGCATGTAACCACTGATTACCAGGGATAATGTATCACCTACACTCACATATTGGCTATGTACCACTGATAGAATAGACTTATCGCCGATAAATAAGGGATCATCATGTACTCACTGACAACAGGACCATCTACCGCCAATAAAAAGGAATATGTACCACTCTACTTCTACAAACAGGTATATGAACCTAATTGATATGTCATGGCTATGTATCACTCATAACAGTATCACAATGTACCACTGATATGGACTTATGGACCATGTGCTAAGGAGGATTAGGCACCACTAACAAAATGGTGTATACATTAAACCATAAGTAATAGATGAAAGAGTCAATAACAGCTCATCTACTGATAAAGCTGCTTATTGGACAAAGAGTGTGCGCACATAAACAGTGTGATTCAAGTCAGTTCAACAACAGCTGAGTGTGAGGAAGTGAATTCCAAAACCATCGTGTATTGTCTACATCTTGTGAACATCATTTTGTGAACACACAATCCCTGACAGGGTGTCGAGGATGCAGGAGGATGTCGAGATGCGGAGGATGACATCTTGAAGACATATCTGGAACTTGATTGGTTTATAGCCTGAAGTTGCACAGGCAGCTTTTAATGTTGTACATTATTGAACTCAAATTAAATTACTATGAACCAGGAACCATAATTATATTAAATTAGAACTCACAACCTGGGCAGTGGAGTAGAGGGCAGCTGTGTGTGTTGCGTTTCTTTAGGCCTCCTCCAGGCCACCAGTTTTCCATCCCACTGATATCATGAAACCGGGGTGAGTGAGGATGTTAGTTTCGTTTTATGTCGCTTCAGCAATATTCCAGCAATATTATATGGGGGATAGCAAAATAGACTTCACACATTGTAACCCATGTGGGAATCGAATCCGGAGCCTATGCAAATGCTTTAATCACGAGGCTAATCCCGCCGCCCCCAACCAGATCAGATGGTAAAGCATAGCTGTGTTGAGTAAATATGCACCCCACATAGTCAATGTGCATTTTGTACGACTCCGCACAGCTATGTGGTGTATCGATCAAATCTTAGTACCTCTTTGTTTTCGTATGTTCTCGCTCATTTCCGAAGCTGGATGTCACCGTAGGATTGGCCCGAAGCAGTTCCTGTGAACATACAAAAATTTCAGCATACACTGTGAATCAAATTAAAATGCTTGCCCAATACATGATTTTTTTGTGCATCATCTTCTAGACACTAGGTTACTTTGACGCTGTGGGCGTCTCCAATTTCAGGCAAAACCAGTTTTAGCCTATATCAAAGTGTGATTGAGCATTTCGGTGATAGAGAGCAAAGACGGTCATTCGAGGTGTGACCCAACAGTCTCTTGTTGTTGTTGTTGTTTTGTTGTTGCTGCTGCTGTTGTTTAACGTACTCATCAATATTCCAGCTAAATGGTTGTAATTGAGTCCCGCCTGACACGCCAGGGATCCAAGGCACCAGCGTCGATCTAAGCAATTGGGATGCGATGACATGTGTCAAACCAAGACAGATAAGCACGATTTCAGTTGACCCCGTCGGGGTCGCCCTTCTATCGACGTAAGCATGGATCTTTACAGATTTACCCTACAGTGAAGCGATAGTTATTAATATATTATAATACATGTGGATGCGAGCTGCGTAGTCATCCAGTGTGTCGTCGTGGCACAGAAGAAAACATATTCCTGGAAGGTGTCGGAGTTGATTGTTTTTCTCTATCGAGAGCCCCAGCATAACATCGGACGCCATGATGTTCAGCTGATGGTCGCCCGAAGCTTAACACAGGTCTGATCGTATATTTTTTTGTGATACACTCTATGATTCCTTTGTGTGTAGAAACGCAAACTAAAACTAACTTTGCGAAGTTATGATAATTGCAGAATTCGTATCGTCATGAGGGCCTTTCTCCATCATTCTTGCTTGTCTTGAAATTTGATTAACTGATATAGGCCTCCTCTATTAACACTAATATATGGTTAATACTCCAAACAGCCTTATGAAAGAAGGGACCGCGATTAACTTTAATTTCCGATTCGTGTGTTTGGGGAACCAGCAACAGTTTACTCTGTTTCTTGTCGTGTGCTTTCTTCATCTTCAAATGCAAGGTTGCGATAGATACTGAGCAGGATCGGCATCTGGAACATTGTGTTATTTCAGAATAAACTTTACAGATCCTGGATAGAATGCTTGATTTCTGGGTGAAGGAAGAATCATGGATGATTCCAGTGGAACCCCTTTGGCTCATGGTCAGGTGGGATGGAAGTTATGCGAAATTGGGACAATTCTAAAATATCCTGGAAAAATATAAGATAAGCGGTACAGGATTCGAACTCTCTGGTTTAAGTCGTGTAGTTCAATACTGTAAAGGATTCAAGCTTCAAAAAAGAGTATTTAATTTGGTATGATGCCAGTTTTCAACAGGTAGAATAGCAACTTAATTCTAAGTAAGCAGGAGTTGGGAATGCTTTAACATTGCCGTACCGTGATGTGACATCGCAAAGTCCTGTCATATAATGAACGAGTTCTTTACTTCGTAGTCTCCCCTTACGATGATTAGCAGAAGAATGCACTTAACCCGGTTCTTCACGGGAAGTAGAATTCATAGGCTGCTCTGCAACTTCCTAAGACTGGTTGAATCCAGCTACTGCTGTAGGAGATCTGTGAATCCTAATGATTTAGATGATTGGAAATACCATATACGGTTTGATGTAATGCTTTCACGTTCATTTAATGGGCAGCCTAGCTGTTAATTAGCTGATCTGCCGTAGATGCGACGTAAAACGCTGCACATATCATACAGCTATGTTCATTACTTTTCCTTGAAATCATTCCGTTGGAAGTCACAGTAGGTATTCTCAGCACCTGGAACATATAACAAATTCATTGCGTGTGGTAAAAATACCAGACAAAATAATTCCTGCAAGCCATTATATATCTCTCTTCTATCTTAAAAGGTCTTCCCTAAATTTGGCTTCTTTAACAACCATCTTCCGGAAACAAACTGCATTGTGTATTTTGCAAAAATAGAGGTGAAGATTATATGACTGTATCACTGAAATTGCAGTGATGACACCCGGCATTCTCAGTAATGGTAGGTATGACTCTACTAATAATGGTGCTATACCTCCACTTGGCCGTTCCACGGCCCTGTAAATCTGTTGGCTTTCCCCATCATCTGCCCTGGGCGTCTCAGCAGTTCTAGCAACGAATGCAAAATCAAATGGGAATATTTTTACAAACTGTGAGCTGATAAAACCACATGTAATCATATTCTCGTTTATCAGAGATTAGGATATATATATATATCCAAAAAAAAATATGGTTCGTTACTCTGCATTACCCCTTTGTGAGTTTTAAGAGTGACAAGTTGTGTGATCGGATTGACTTTTTCTTTATGGTCATGCATGCGAGGTGTAGGATATTAACGCCTTTATCAAGCATCTACACTGAAACTTCGCATCCATTGGAACCAAGAAGAGGCCATCCATGCAACGTGATCATCTTTCATCCGCAACCAACTGCTGACTTTCATATTCATGTTCCAGTAAGCTTTATAACTGTACAACAGACAAAGCTTTACGAGCTGACAAGTAAGCTATTGTGATTTATAAAAAATGCATTTTAGATAGCTTTTAAAATTCAATATTAAATACTACATCGGCAAATAAACAAATGTGGGGCCGTAACCTTAATTTAGTGGGAATAGAAAGCAGAAAGGGCAATCTTGGTTCCACTTCATGTCCGTTTTCAGTATATTATCACCATAACTAAGTATGTTTACCAGTTACACAAGCTTTAATCCATTGACTAAACAATTCCATCAGTAAAATACACCTACCTCTGTGGATTCTCAATAGCTGGAACGAAAATGCAGTTGTCAATGTCATATTCAGAGCATTGCCAGTCAATACTCATTCTGCAATAGAATTTTACTCGTCATTCTCAGAGGTAATTTCGGATGTTATACATCGCATAGTTGATATTAATGAAAAAGTAATCCTATAAGGCAAATGTAAGTTGTCATATGTGTGGCCAGCTATGTGCATATTTCATAACTGACGGTATCAAGTTATACTCACAAATACACTTCTTTACGTTTTGCAGTCTCTATTATCCTCCTGTGGTAGATAAATGATGATGGATTTTTGATGGAGGATTGATGGATGGATGCGACTGAGTCGTAATTATGATCCCGGCTTAAGCGCAGGGGCGCAATTCACTTCGGCATTTGTTTGCTGGTGGAGGGCTCTGCTTTGTTCCTCGATCAAAGAGACAGCTTGCACTGTAAGCAGAACAGAAAGAACAGGATTATCAAAATGAAGAAACGAATGCACTCCATTTGAAGATGCATGGGACAGTTTGCCTCAGATAAATTTTACGCTAAGGGTTGACGTGTTCTACACAGTGTACACACAGTCTCACCGACCACGACAACCACAGTACATTGGATTGGTTCCAGATGTTCTCTGGCGGGTCAAGGACATTCATGATTTTGACATACGCTTATATTGTACATTCTAAGAAGCTTCGGCTAAAGATCAATGACTCACAGCAATTGTATCAGACGGTGATGTACACTTTGCATTACGTCATAATGAGCAATACGTAACGTCCAGTACTG